CCCCAAATCGGACTCCAGAACAGCCAATGTATAATTTATTTAGCGTTAAAATAAATTAAACAACCCTTAACTTTTCAATCGCAACTTTAAAAACAAAACAAAACAAAACAAACAATACAATAAATGGATTTCCTAAAAGTCTTCTCAGACGTAAGATCAAGTCACAAAAGTAAAAAAAATGGTGATCTCGGCATTAGAAGCTTTGAGGAGGCCCACTATGAGGGCCTACAGTCTTATCATAGGTGAAGCCCTATAGTCAGTGTGAATTGTAGAGTCAATTTCTGACAAGTGAAATTTTTTCTAACCATACTGTAGCAGACAAAGGAGGGATTTTTGGAAGCTTCCATAGTAAAACTTGGGCTTTACCTTCAATGTAAACAAAACAAAAGGAAACCCTTCAGCTTGGGTCAATAAACCCCTTAAATATAGTGTTGGTCATAATTTAAAGATTGTCTGTTGCAGTTGCAAGTAGAAAAGCAATCAAAAAAAAACTAATTGGGGTTGAATGTCAGACTGCAGTGGTTTGCTTATGTAAATGAGGTCAACCCTGAAACCCCCCCCCCCCCCNNACCCCCCCCCCCCAGACGAGCCAAGTCTTGCATCACTCATCTTTTTCATGACTGGCGTTTCCATTCATAACGCCGTTGGTGTGGTGTGACCATGTCTGAGCCTGCAGCACTTTGGGCAGCCTCTTGCCCTTGGTGTAGGCGTGGTACCAGAAGTTGAGGAAGAGGAACAGGAAAATCAGGCCGTACAGGCCGATGATGTAGATGAAGATAGGGAACTGGTAGGGGCAGTCTTTCATGAAGAAATACTGGGAGATGTGGCTGGTCACCATAACAAACTGGATCTGGGGAGCGACAAAGAAAGGAAGGGTCAAGTCTATTGCCAAGATTTACCACAGGTCTTTACAATAGAGTACATGTTGAGAACATAAGATATACAGAAAAAAATAAAACAATTTAACATACCAGCTGAATGGTAGTGAGGTATTTCTTCCACCACAGGTACTTTTGGTAGTTGGGGCCCAGAGCAGTCAGGCCGTAGTACGTGTACATGATAACATGGACAACACAGTTGAGCAGGGCGTGGAATGTCCCCATACCACCTGAAAATAGGGAGTGTTTCAGGATTAATAGTCACAAAATAAAAATAAAAAAACAAAAACAAAACAAAACATGTAATATGTAAAATATTGGTTGTTCATAAAAGACAAGGAGCTCCTACCTGCTGCAAAACGAACTCCAAACCACCAGGTGAATGGCATGATTGAGTGATGGTAGACATGAAGAAATGTCACCTGGCTATTCTTCTTTCTCAGCACAAAGAAGATCTGGAAAGGGACACAAGTATAGTGTGTTAAAATAAATGGCAGGTGGCTCAAATGCCTCAAATGCAATATAGATTTACTGCAACACAACAAAAAGGATGTGTATTCAACTCGAATGTCTGACTGATTGTGACTTACCGTGTCCAACATCTCAATGAACTTTGAGAAGTAGTAAAGCCAGCATGTTGCTGCCATCTAGAGGAGAGAGCAAAGTAAAATATTTCAGTACTGGTAAAATAAACAAATAAGAATTCCAGCAGGTGATGCAGTACAGGCCAATCTTTAAATAAGTGGCTTACCCTTATAGCCTGTGGTGAATCAGAGTAGTTGACGAGGTCACAGTGAAAAGAGTATCCCGTTCCCCATCCTGACATCACAAACTGAAGAGAACAGGGCAAAGTGTGGTTATTAACAAGTGTACCTTCAAAAACATTTTTTTCCAGATGTTAAATTTGACTCCGTCTTCTGTTTTACTTGGATATTTTTCCCCATCTAAGGGGACAGATGCTGTTGGCTTATTTATTGACTACCATACACAGTAAAGCTACACTGTGTGTTTGGGTAAGGTTGGGATGTAAAAATCCATTCTCTCCAAATGATTAAACTGGAAGACTACACCCGCCAATCTGGTTTAACCTCAGATCAAATAGTCGAGATAAAAAACAAAAAAAAAAAAACCCTAATCCATGAGCAAGAGTATTTCACAAGACTGCCAATGGCATGTGCCACAGCTCGGTTCTTCAACAAGAAATACTGAGGTTTGTTCCACTATGAGCCTGTGGTATGCATGCAGTGTGCCATCTTACATTAAATTATTTTTACAGCACACACTTCCTGCCACTGTGCTCCGATCGAACAAAAGAACCTGGTGACTCACCTCGTAGCACATGTAGAGTGAGAGAGCCACCACGCTGAAGTTGTACACTATGAGGACTCCTTTGAGGTCAAAGGCTTTGCGGTTCTCCATTAGCCGAGGCCCGAGCGATGTGACAAAGTAAATGTACGCTGCGATGATGACCGTTTGGGGGAGAGGAGATGACATAAGCAGCCAGCTCTCTGTCCGCGAGTCTGCAGCAGAAGGATTTGTTTGCGAGATCGAAAGAGGTTCAGATACAAAGAGAAAAGGGAGGGGAGTGTACCATGTTAAAAGTGGATTCGTGTACAGAAACAAACAGAGTTTAGGGTTTTAAATTACAAGACATGCCCAGTCTTTTTGAAAGCTTAATGCATTTGAACGTTCATAGACTCACCGGCATTTTGGATGAACTCGTCATAAACAAGGGCGGCCGAGGACTTTATATTATCAAATTCCATTTTCAGATCCCTGCAATTCACCTAGAGGAGGAAAGGCAAAGGTTAGGATATCAGTTGGACCAGACATGAGCTCACTGGAATCTGTTCAAGAAGCCTCGGCACAGAATCCGTCAGCGATACGCGTGTGTCCCAGAACAGGAAAAAGAATTTTACTGAAATATTTGTATCCTCTTAAAAGCTGCCAAATACACCAATTAACACTGTATTCAAGTGATGTTGATTAGAAAAGGTTGAGAAAGTTTCCAGTTGAGGAACTATCAAGGTTATTAAGGGTTACTACTTCCTCCACTTTGGTAATGAACTCTCAACAGGAAGTAAGTCACTCTCAAACAACTGCTGCAAGGGAAAAAAAAAAAAAAGGAAAAACAAAAAAAAAAGGAACTAGTTTGACCTGAGCTACTCACTGAAACTGACAGCACACAGCATCGTATCGCCATGCAACTGGTATGTGATAAGATCTGAACAGTGTTCAACTCAGTATTGTTATTTGTAGTTGTACTGCCATGACTGAAAGGCTGGACTGTATAGGGCACTCAGCCATTCTTTGCTGCCCCTCTGACAATCTGAGACAGACAAAGCCAAGAGTGTACGGGGAGTACAATGAGTAGCAGTCAGTGTCCCCGTTTGCAGGGAACAAACACTGTGACTAGAATTGATTCAAGAAACATTTACACATGGCTAGTGTAAAAATCAGTTACAATACATTCCATGTCTTAATACCAAAATCATGCCACTTTGACTCATGCTGGACATCTTTGGTATGTGATACAAACGTACACGTGAAACTTGGACATTTTCCTCAATGGGAAGAGAGTTAGCAGGCAACAAATTATGATGTGTAGTGTAAAAAGAAAGACGCCATGTAATGTCAGAATTACATTAAGCTTAAACTGGTTATTTTTTTTAAAGTGAAGGGTAATGGGACAAACTTTTCCCAGTTATCCCAGCATCTGTGCTGCTGCCATTAATTATGAGTTAGTCTAATGGTTCAGGAATTAAAATCAAGCATTTGTTTAAAATGCAGCACATTAGTTCAGTCTCTGGGCATGGGGTTGATGCCTTGCATTAGGTTACACGGTTCACAATGACTGGCTTGACTGGTTTATGAAAACATGCCTGTTGTATGGGGAAAAATGCCAAGGGAGAACTCTTTAAACACACCACAAGTCAAACAAAATCTCAATATACCTGTTAAGATTGTTTTTATTTCTAGAAAGCCATTGTACCATTTGTGTGGGAGCTTAATAAGACAAAATAAATAAAAAGAAACACATCCACCCTATGTGCTAAGGATACATAAGACACAACCCTACATGACAGGTTTTCAAGGTGTGTCAACCTGAATGTGACAAGAACTTGAACAGGGCATGGATAAGTCATTAGGTGAACTGTGAAAAAAGGCATGGCTGTCTGGAGTTTCTACACCAATGACGACTGGCAAGCCTTGACATGCCAATCAACGTTATAGTCAGGGACTGTGATGTAAAGGCTGCTACTCCCATGGCACACCTCCTTATTTTATGTCTTTTATGTCAACTCCCCACGGCTTGCCAAAAAAAAAAAAAAAAAATTGAGTTAAGGTGGTCCAACACTGTCCAATAACTGAAGCAGACTGGTTGATGTGTTGCATAGAAAAACATAAAAAAAAAAAATAAAAAAAAAACACATTTTTACATTAAAACACCAATAATAGTCATTTTATGTCAATTTTACCTGGTCAAATGAATAATCTTACAAATGTGTCCATTATCATAATTTAATTTCTTAATTATATTTGTGTACTTTAACAGGGCCACTTTGGAAAGTGCACCTGGTATAATATTGAGTTAGTTGTCATCGACTTGGCTAATTAAGTTCTTTTAGCTTACTTCTATGTGTCATTGTCCACACCAGTATCGCTGTAAGCCTCAGTAAGAGGCTGAGCTGATGAGGACCAGGTGACGCCATTGATGAAAAACAAGTCCAACAGCTCCTATGCGCCCCACAATGGCAGCAAATGTTTCAGTAATCACGGGCACGCTTTTGCGTCGACACACCGGCTCTCTCACATTTTTCTCTCTATAAAAAGTTTTTGTCGTATCACTTAACTCAAATTCAACTCGAAGAAAACACGAATTACTAACCTTTTTGTGCTAGTGCCGCTGTCACTCGGTGAAAGTCCTTTTTGCTGCGTCCAATTGTCTGTATCCAAACTCCCCGCTCACCTGCAGCTTCCCAACAGGTGCGCCTCCTCTGCTCTCCACTCGCCGTACTCCCCGCTTATGATAGGCATCTGAGGGCGGGGTCTGGAATACAGCCACGCCCCTCGCTCGGTGGTTGGCCAACGCTCAAATTCATTCTTGAGTGATGCCTCATCGAAAAGATTTTGCAACATTACAATAATATCCTCTTTCGACGTAATCAATCATTGGTTTCAGTCCAAAAAAAAAACCAACTACTGGCGTTTTTTTCCATAACCTGCCAAAAACACCGCATGATTACACAGAGGTGAAAGAAATAAGGTAGCATGCCCCCAGTGCTTTTATTAGAAAGAAACAGACATCATTTAAAAACTGTTCATTTCAAGACACTTGAGGTAATTTTGGATATAGAGAACTGACTGTTACATTAAATGATAGAAACAGTATCCTGGATATAAATAGTGTTGATATGCAAGAAATAAGTGTATATATTTCTTAAAGGATAGCAATGGTCATCACTGTATTGTGTTTTTGTTAGTTGTAGGTTTTTATGGGAAGGGCCTCATTTGGGTTCAAGGTGTTCACATGGTAAATAAGCCAATATGTATAACTGTGAGGGGAGTGGGACAGAGAGAAAGGTTTCAGTATCGCTCCTCACACATGCAAAGTATTGCAGGAATGACAACAAGACCGTGTTTCTAATTTGCCTTCTTGTCTTACACTCTCTTCCCAACTCAATGGCAGAAACATAAAAACTGAAACCTGTTTAAAAAAAAATCTCTCTGAGTAAACAGTAAGGGTTAACTCTGCTTGTTGCAAAACCTCCAAAAATCTCCACATTTTACAACAGTCAGCAGTCAACAGTGGCAGATATCCCCCATGGCTACAATTAATTATTGAATACAAAATCATGTTAAGAAGACTTTAGCAACATGAAACTTGTTAAGAATACCAAGGACCAATAAAATACAGAAAATCAACAATAACAATGCTGTATCAAATGTACAAAAGCAAACATTATTCATAACACATATTTATAAAGCCGTACAATTATTTACACATTTCATATTCATTTTAAGGCCTTAGTCTTTGTGTGCAACAATAAAACTGGAGAACCTAAACCCACAATGATTTTTACAGGTGTCTATGGACCTGTAATGTTTTGACAAGTTTATTGCGTAGGATGTGTGGTCATTTGCATGGTCAGACACCTGTACGTCCACTTTGGCCCAACATTCAAAACACCAGCATTAATCTTCATCACTGCTCCATGCGTCCTGAAAGGCAGGGTTAACTGAAGTCTGGCCCACAGCTCCCTGTAAAGAATCGAGACATTCATGTCAAAATAAAGTCTGAATTTAAGCAGCAACAAGGAACTGTGGTTCAGTTTTTGTAAGGGGAATCTGACCCGGTGACAGTCATAATTGTTGATAATTGTTTCATAACCAGTTAAAAACTCTTTG